CTCTCCTGGGCAAGTCCCTAGCAAGTTTGCTGGCGTGACAGTTTCACCTTAAAAGCCTTCAAACTCCTCTTCATCATCTGATATTAAAAGTTCATCAACGACATCTTGGTGCCATGATAGGGATGATAGGGGTTTGACTGGTCGACATTTTCTATGCTGTACTGTACAATGGGGCAGTATTGTGGTTGGCTGTTGGCTGTATACAAAGCCTGATTTGATTGGTCCCTGCTCCCTGTTTGCCCGCCCTGTCACTATAGCAGTCTGGTCCACCCTTGCATCAGCATCTCCCTGGGACCTCACTAGTGCGCAAGTGCGAGCTCTTCAACATTCTAACAGGCACCATGATAGCGCAAAATCGCGAATCTTCAATGCATATGTAAAGAAATATACGGTAACCCGAATTTACCACACTCGCAAAATCGCACACAGCCAACCATACACCCAGTATGGTATCGCGATTCGTGATTTTGCGCTATCATACTGGGTGTATGGTCGGCTGTGTGCGATTTTGCGAGTGTGGTAAAATCGCATAACAGCAAAATCGCATAACAGCCGAGCATACACCCAGCAGCGCTGCTGATGCCTGAACGGTATGTGGAATGAAGTGGGCGGGCATCGGGAGGCCACTATGGCACGGGGCAAGCACTATGGGCAGTCTATCTGAAGTGTACCCGGCGTATAAGACGACCCCCCATTTGGAGGCATATTTTTCAGGGCCAAAAAATCGTCTTATACGCCGGCAAATACGGTAATTAAATAAGGAAAACAGTTATGTCAGTTTCCTCTAATACATATGCTCTCAACATTCCATACTTTTATTTCACATCAATTGTCACAACCGTAAGCATATGTATTAGAGGGAACTGACATGGTGTAAGGGTGTTAAGAAAAATTTTCACCAACTCGGCCATCCCTTCTCCATGCTGTCTCACTATTATCTTATAATTTCTGGTTCTCTGTTCACTGTTGGGCTCAGCCTCTTCTCTTTTGGGCACTTGAAATGTATTTTATCAGTGGGTTGGTGGGGTGGGAAAATGTTCAGGAACCAAGGCTTTGCAAGGATCTTTCTGAAGCCAGTTATTGCTGTATTATAGCACCTAAGTATGAGCTAAGTGGCCACTTAATGTTATTCATGGTACATTGACTCCCATTAGGGAAAGCAAGGGTTTGGAGAATGGCAAATCAATAGTCAGCCACAGCCACCACTGACTGAGCCTCTTCCCATCCTTTGAAGGAACCAGAACCAGCACGGATCTCTCAGTTCTTATTAGTAATTTTAGTCAATGAAAGCTAGTGGGTTTTTTTTTTCTTTCATTTTAAATTTTAATGCTCTCTGGGTCAAGTGATTGGGGAATAAGCAACCACTCCTGTTTCTATCTGCAGGGAAGAAAACATACTATTGCTGCTAGGATTTTGCATTTATATAGCACTTGAGTGTTGGCTAAGTGCTTTTACAATCAATTTTATTGTCAATGTAAAAGATAACCTAATGCCACCCCTGTCAAAATGTGTTTGGTGTGATTCTGAGAAAAGGATCTTTTGAAGACTAGATATATAAGACAATGCGAACATCATCTGAAGAGAATTAGCTATTAATAAAAGACATAAACCACCTGGTATTTTTTGTTACCTGCCTTTACAAGGAAAGAAGGAAAAGAAAAAAACTTATAACAGTAGAAGTACAATCATGCAGGAAGACAACCCCCTTTATGACTTGGTTTGTAACTAGGGCACCGAGGGAGGGATGTTTTACGAGTGACAATATGTGTTCTATAATGTATATCCTTAAAGCATGAGGTTTTATTTAGAGCAAGTGTTGGCAGTCTTTCGCTACAGGGCCAGATAGGAAAATATTTCAGGCTTTGCAGGCCATGCTCTTTCTGTAGCAACTATTCAGCTCTGAGGTTGTAGCA